TTTTTTTTTTTTTTTTTTTTTTTTGTGTTATACTGCCAGAAATACAGAAGTAATTAGTGACTTGCAAAATATATCGTTGCAAGTAAAGGTAGGTAAGACGTTCAAGAACAATAAACACAACAATGCAAATACAAATAAGTAAACTCCAGGTGTTTGTATAAATAATTTAGTAGCTTTTTCAAAACTTTCAATCAACTTTGAAGGCAATACCATCACTCTCACCCAGTCAGATTTAAATTCAAAATATTTTTAAATATTTTATTGTTAATACAAACAAACATGATTACAAGTATTACATAAGCAATATAATAGTACATGTATTAATACAACAGGCTAAGCCTATTAAGTCTTTTCCTGTTTAACCGGTTGTAAAAGCATTTTTCATTAATTATTATATTATACATGCATAATTACTTTGGACAAATGCTGAAGCCCTAAATCCCTACACCAGTCAAGTGCATCTAGATTAATTCCTGTAGGAACTCTTATCTAAATCAGAGATTCATAACGATAGATCTATCGTTATAAATCTCTGATTAAGATAGAGTTCCAACAGGAATTACTAGATATGCGTGTTTATTAATGTCGATCAATGAAGTGAATACGTTGGGACAATTTCTTACGGTAATTACTGTGTATACAATTTACTTCCCCTTAACTGGTAGTATAACCTGGTAGTATAACTGCTTTTTTTTAAGAAAAGACTAAATCATTAGTCTAAGGTTATTATTTACAATATAAAAGGTTTGAAGGTGTATTTGGGTCGTTTCTAGTGTGTTTTGGGTAAATGGTCGTGCCCATTTGATAGTACTAATATATTATAGAAATTATTAAACCAATGTGATCATATCGAAATTTGCTATCATTGCTTTTGTTTTCGCTCTGAAAAATACTTTGCGGTAATTATTATTAGTAAACTGTATAACTGTACTGGTCCTCATAGGTTTCATCGGAATACTTTAGAGTAACAAAATCGGCCACTTTCTATCTCAGTATGATTAAAACATTATCAAAGAAGTTTATCTGTATGCCATTCCTTAAAACACAAGTATTCAAGACAGATATATACTTACATTTTTCGATACCGGTAGACCGTCAAGCATTTTAATTTACTCGGACAACTCGACCACACTCTTAAAAATAAAGGTAGTCAGTCGAGGCATACCGAATGTATCATTCTGCGTGTTTGGGTGTCACTAATGCCCGGAATATATTTAGTTGGTTACTCTTTTCTTCATTGTTGAATTTAGAATCACATACCTGGTTATAAAGTTAAACTAACTAGCATTTTGTTAGTGTTTTTTTAATTGGTTAAAACTGTGTATATATATATATGTGTGTTGTTAAGAAGCTCACAAGAAAGTCAGCTGAGTTTGGAAAATAATATTACATGTAACTAAAATTTGAAGCTTACTGCTGACAAAATTCAATGTCAGAAGAGTTTGCCAATATGATATTCCAATCGGGACCCGTCGGCGTTTTCCATAAACGGTCTAGATCTACTGCCGAGGTATTTTCTCGTTTACGGAAAGTGCTACTCTCGAAGTATTTTCTCGTTTACGGAAAGTGCCGACGGTTCTCGATTGTATGAATTCCTGTGTCGGTTCTATTTAATTAATACTTGATGGTTACCACAAAGTGTTCTGTCGATACGTTTTTACTAGTAAATGGTGTGATTATACAGTACGATCTATGGTGATGTTTGACTTTTGTTACTCAGAGACAGTAAAAACAGAACATGATCAGGATAGAAAGCTATCAACCAATCAAATTCCCCTTTTGCTGCTGCTGCATCTGAGTTAGGCGGAAGGTTTAAATGAGCTCTTTAAATGGTCTGCGTCACAGTTCATAAAATGGAGATTTGCATATTTGCCAACTCTTCTTATTTTTGAACCTAAAACTGAGCATTTTCAGCCAGTGAATCTGTTAAACCATTCCTATTTTGTAAGATCTGATGCTTTAATCTGAAAGAATATTCAAAAGATGCAATTTCAATGTGTTATTTTGTCCCTAGGGGCTCAAGCACACATTTGATTAAGTATGTTTTCAATTTTGAGCACGCATTATCTCCTTCATGGAAATTCCAAAAAGTTGACAAGTATGGCAATATTGCAGAGATAATTGGTCCTGTTTATGTGATTGCTGACTCTTCCAAGCTTGACCGTTACTCGAACTGTCATGTTGACGGTCAGGCTTACTTTGACGTCTCAGAACACAGACCCATCATCTGCAAAATGTCCTACAGTACTTTGACTTTCAGAGATACGTCGGATTTAGTGCTGCATTAACTGGGGAGGAGTACATTGCTGAAATTTACTCTCACTTAGAAGAAAGTTGATTTGAAAATGATTTCTGAACTTTCAGATTTTCTTCAAAGTATAATGGTCCTTTGCAGGACTCAACTTCGATAGTTTTTATGGTTGAGGGAAATGTTGTTGTAAAAGGTTTTCCTCATAGAAAGGCACCAGGTGTCAATTTACTCGTTTATAAAAAAATGGCTGCGACTGACTGTATGAATCGGACTAACATTGTTGAAGGCTTTTGCAAAATCAGATTATGTACCAATTTCCCTTAAACAAGGCTTGATATGCACATTATATAAAAGTCAAAACAAACCAAAATACAACCCAAATAGAGTTAGAGCAATATCGCTTCTACCAGGTATATTTAAAGTTTATGAAAGCTGTATCTGAAAAAAATCATCTTTAGAACCTTTTCCTTCATGTATTGTGCATGAAACACCTGAGTATGCCAATGGACATGATGGTAAGTTGTTGATATGTTTAGATGCTTCAAAAGTAACTGACAGTGTGTGGAATGAAGGCCTGTTTATCGGACGTTTGGCTTTTGACCGAAAATATGTACAATTTGTATAAGTATATATATATTTTTAAAGATATGATTAGTGTGTTTCTCCATCAGAATATTATGTCGACGATGTTGAAGATATGACAGGGTAGTGTTATCTCCCCTTGGTTGTAGTCTGTTTATATAAATGTGACCTCTTGATTGACCTTTTGTAAATCTCAATATTCGCTAATTATTTGTGATATTAACGTTACGTGTCCAACACAGGCAGACGATACATGTCTCCCTGCGTTTTCTGAACACAACTTAGATATGCCCATGCACGAAATAGTAGCCACCTACAGTCGAACCGTAAGTGGTACTTCGACGATAGTTACTGAGTGTACAAAAGTTAACATGTTTGAATTAGTTTAAATTAGTTTAAACCAGGTCGCACTGATGTCGATGAAGTTACCCACATATTCGGTCCCACTATCATCCCATTAACATGAGTGAAACTATATCTCTCTATTATTCTCACCCGAAGCATGTCAAATTTGTTGTGAACAGTGGTATTCATTCACAATCTCAGACTGGCGTCGCCTGGAATCGGTATATCAACTGTGTGCCAAATAAGATAAGAATTGTACAATCAATCAACTGTTTTTATTGAAATTGTATAAAAACGTCTTGGTGCTAAGACAGGTTTTATTGTTAACCAATGTGACATTCTATGCAAATATGTTTTTTTTTAGTTTTTAATGGTTTCGTTTACTCAAGTAAATTAATTTCAAAGTTACTCTGGAAAAAATAATTTAAAAGTTCTTCTTTGTTAAGAATCAAACGATTGGAAATCTCATTTAGATCATTCGCATGAGTTTTCAAGATTTAAGTCTTCATCCTGAAATGAAATCTTCAGATTCCAAAATGTGGATTACTCCACCCAATCGGAAATAGTAAGCACTCGTTGCAAGGGTACGTTTAAAGACACAGTCTACCATTGTTTTTTTTAGACTGCAGATAGTTAGAATTAGCAAATTAGCCTGATACTCTTTCTACTAATTTTGTAAATAAACATTCCGTGCATGTTTACTTGCCATTCGACAAGAAAGGCATACAAGTCCAGATGGCTGTTCTGCTGGGTGCTCACAGCTCTGCCATTTGTGATGCCCTTAGTGACGATGTTAAATCGCTCACTTCATTTATCAAATATTGCTTTATTTTTCTTTCTGAAAAGGCGTTCACTATGACTAATCAGTTAATGAAACCTAATTTTATAGCAGTCATTGCAATGTTAGTCATCTCATTACCCACTTTTCAATGACTTAATTACTTGTTTATTCCATTTCTCGAGTTGCGATTATAAATTGATATTTATATCAATTGTTAATTAGTTTTCGTTTGCATCATTCTTTTTTTTCTTATGTCACGTGCGATCGTACACTTCAATATTTTGGAAGAAATAAAAATATGTTGATGATGATGATGATATGATGATGACAAGGAGAATTAAATACTCTTCATCGACCGAAAGGTAATGAAAGTGCCTTGTAAATACAGTGATTTGTATTACCCCCGGATCACGCATTCGCCTCTGGGGAGGAGGTCAAGCTTACTATGGTTTATGTAGAGAAATAAAAATAAATTGGATATATATATTTTGATTATCTTAGATACTTTTTAAATCCTTTTTGGAATAATTACCATAGGATGGCAGATGAATGCTTTGAAAATTAAAAATCTTACAGATGGATGGAACGTTTTTCACTGATCATCTATATATCACAGACTTATAATTATGTTGTCATTCCAGAGCGAAACACAGTTTTAACGTAGTGGAGTAGGAAGTTTTAAACAGTAGGGTAGTACACACACAACCCAATATGTCTGAATACTTTAAAGAATGAGGTACACACATATATATAGAAACATTTGTTTTGCTCTATTGCGTTTGATATGTTTTCTGTTCTATCCCATTACTTTACATTTACCTATATGTAATGAATACACAAAACTTGATATGGTTCCAAAAGATTACTCAAGTTGAACTAAATGCCTTACTTAAAAATTGTTATAAATGACGTAACATCCAATAAAACTCTGATGAAGATTTCTGGTTTATATATATACAATGCAGAAACATTAATGCGCATGACCGCTGTCTGGTGTATGCGGCGGTAGCAGACGACACCTGTACAATCTAAATGTACTCGTTTGCATGTATTTTATTTCTGACAGTATTTCTAAATATCTGCTTATGAGTAAAACTCAGCTATTTCTTGTTTAAGTTGAGTATTTGCTCAGGTGGTTCTATTTTTAGATTTCTCACTGGCGTAGTTTATCTGATGACCTAATTTCCATTCAACTCTGTGTCCAATAACAGATGTACAACATAACGACGCAGAATTGTAAACAAGACCCCTTGTTCTAAACCGAAAGTAGAAAAAGAATAGTTATACATAACGTTACGTCCAATAAAAAACTCTGCTGAAAATTTATACAACGCAGAAACAGTTTTGTAGATCGTACAGGTGTCGTCTGCTACCAGCGCTTACACAAATGTACTCGTTTGCACGTATTTTATTGCTGACAGTATTTTTAATCATCTGCCTATGAGTAAAATTCAACTATTTCTTGTAAAAGTTGAGTATTTGCTTAGGTGGTTCTAATTTTAGATTTCTCACACTGTGACCTATCTTAACTTCTGCGTATGGCTAGTTTATATGATGACCTAATTTCCATTTTTAGACATTATCAACTCTGTGTTCAATAATAGCTAGCTCAAGGCTGTATGCAATATAACTACACAGAATTGTAAACACGACACTTGTTCTCAACCGAAAGTAGAAAAAAGAAACAATTTATAAAAAACGCATTGAATTGATACTAAACGATGCTATTTGATGCTTGTAAGTTATCGTAAAGTTGTTTTTTCTGTTATGTTGATAGTTATGTGGTGTACATAAGCAAAATAAAACTGATAATCAAATTACAAAGGTGATTTCCCACAAAATATTAAACATGGCGGGGAAAACATTATTTGTACTTCTTTGCTATTGCATTGCATCATCGACAGTAAGTAGAAGCTAGATATTCTTTGATAAAAAGAAATATACTCATTAACTATTACAACATACTCATAACTATTACAACATACTCATTAACTATTATAACATATTCATTAACTATTACAACATACTCATTAACTATTATTAACAATATACTTTTGCTTTCTTTGCAGTTCATCAAAGTTGTTTCAATGGAACTGGTTTCCCACTGGTTGTCTGGAGGGTATGTACAATGCTATCCTGTGGTATGCCTAGCAGGATTTCGTAAGTACTAGCCAGGATCACGCATGCTGATTTGCATACATACATACCGTATTGCTTTATTTTCGGATGTTTATTTTAATTTCATTTGATATTGTATCTTCAATGTAGTTAACATTTAACTGTTGTCCTTTTGAGTCTGTGTGCGGCCCCTATTTTGTGTAGTGAGTCTAGGACATGTTTCATTTGCCTTTGTTTGCACTGCTGTGTAATTTGTCATTGTGTGTTGATGTTGTTGTATGTGTTGTCTATGTGTTGCAGCTGTCGCATATTTTGTACTTGTTTGGTGATGTTGTGGTTTATTTTTGCCCTTGTGTGTTTCAGTTGTGGGTCCTGTCCCTGCATATTGACGCTATTGCATAAAATGCCCTTTGATTTAAACATATTTTTATTGATTTGAAAATGACAAAAAAGATTAGGCACAAAATGCCCTTTGTGTTGACACTGTCGTATTTTTTTCATTGTGTGTATACCTTGTGCAAACATTCTTTTTTTTGTTAAGATAACATACCTTAAATATCGTGTAATGGATTACGTAAAACAATGATGACTCAAACATGTAATATTATATATTAGTGGAAATCCACCATCGCTTAAAATAGTGTACACGTACCATATATTGCTATTTGAACTTATTTGTTATGTAACACGGCCATTGGTTGATCGATTGACATGATTGACTTCCGCACAACTACGTTATGCTGGCTGCATTTCTCATTACTTTATGTATATGTAGATATTTACATGTAATACTCTGTGCCTCTGCCACTATATAACTTTACCAAGTTCAGGTGGCATTTATTGAATGTTTGGTGGTATGGATCTTTGTTGACATTTGTGAATGTTTGCAAAATAATTATGTTCAAACATATTCTATGGTAGCGCATCCTAAAGTATATGCTTAAATATAAATGTGCTGCTTACCATCATAAATGCATTTCAATCTTCATATTAATGTTGAAAACAACAAATACAATATTGTTCTATTTCATCTAATTAATTAATACATTTTTTGTGTAGTCTAATATGGTTAAAAATCCATGTTAAATAAACTGTTTTACAAAATTGCGGAAAAGCCATTTTTTGCGGAATTCCACGAGGCTGTGAACATCAACCAAAACACATCCAGGAGTTTCTGTCTTTATTTGTATTTGACGTTACTTTATGATTGGTCCCAGATTACTCAAACAATTCGATATAAACAGTTTCCGATTAAAAATCACTCACATGTTATAGTTCTAGCTGTAACGGGATAATATCAACAAATTTGTAGATAGGTTAATCTAAGGGCTGAACAAAGGAAATGTAAATATATCACCATAGATGACGTCATCATTATTATGACGTCGTCATTGTAACGTTGGATACAACTGTATACACTGACTGCAGTTTAATGCTTTAATGCATCTTGGATGGAAAGTGTTTATGACGCCAATTACCCAGACGGACACCGGTATGTTATGGAATCGGTTACTAATGACCTCAAGAACAATAACGTTTAGTTAACGCAAAGTGAGGTTTATATATTAAAAACAAAAATAACCTTAATTCTTTTTGCCGCTTGTGTATACTGTGACTGTGTTTATGAAATGAAACAGTGACAACCCCACTATGTTTTTACACATGCAACGTTATAGTGTTAACTATCCAATTAGAGTCGGCGATTATCCTAATAGCGGACTCTGCACCGCGTCGCCTGTTAAACTCAATTTAAAGTAGTAATAACGTAAGTTACGATATACTGTTGAAAACTTGAATGCGCCGAATTTCAACAGAAGAGCGAAAAATCTTCAATGTAACAAAAAGATTGTTCGATACAGTTGCTGTGTAATAATATATAACATCATGTCTTACAGCAAAATCATTTTCTAATGATGTAATTTGCATATTTAAGCATTTGAACCTTTTAGTTAAGGTTTGATGCATACGTGAACGTGTGAAAGGTTTTTTTCAGTGGTGTTTTTTTCTTAAATCACTTACACAGTCGATAGTGCATATAGTTCATATAGCGATGACGCCGATTGAAAGCTGCGAGCTTCTTATGGCGCGTTTGAATATATGTTAAAGTACTTGTTAAAAAAATAGATCGTAAAACATACAATGTTACATAGCAAAGAAACAGAACAAAGATGCAAATCTCAAATCACAGAAGGGTTATCCTCTAATTATAATTGTAAATTGATTAAAAATCCTATCTGTAATATCACACTTCCATGGCATGTTCAAATATGTTTGCATGATAGTTTTAACTTCATTTATTAGAAGCAACAAAAAATAGAGTGGGTGGGTGGGCTGAACCAGAAATATTTATCGAAAGAAACGTTGCAATGTTATTTTGCAGAGGCGTCTTTCTGTAAGCTGGATAGAACGAGCGACTACTGCCATTCGTGTCCCGTTGGCAGCACACAGGATATAATTGTGGACACGAGAACTCTTCGGTCTCAGAATGACGTCCCGAAATGCTCGCGTATCGACATCGCATGTCTACAGCCAGGTCTGTTCCGGACACATGAAAGTGTTACAAAATGTTTCTTAAACAATCGCCAATGAACCACACAAACACTGATAATAATCAATACTTTGAGTGACATTTCCATATTATATTGTAGCATGTTTCCCCCCAAAAGAGTTGCATACACAATATTGTTATATTTACATATTTTAATGAAATCTTGGAACATAGCAAAAAGTTAGGTTATACTAATTTGAAATTTTCTCATTTTGATTACTCACGCTAATGTATACTGGAATATTTCGCTGTAGTTTAACTTTCTGCTTTTTTTCGCCCTGCGTGACGGGGACAAATTTATCATTACAGCGAATATAAGTAAACAACATGATATACATAGTAATGAAATGTGAAGGGCGAAATTAACACTGGGCGAAAATTGATTTGATGGACGAAAGGCGAAAGTTTGACTCGGCGAAAAATTCCCGTTGACAGTAAGCTATTGCTATGGATCTGCGTCAGTCGTCGTATGTCGGTTTTTCATAGTTTGCTATTTCGATACCTTATTAAGGACCACTGGAGCGACTGACTGGAAACAAATGCTCCTTGTGATGTCCCGTCGACCCAGAGTTGTAAGTTCTCATGCCAATCGAAAAACAACCAAGACGGCTTCTCAAGCCTTTGATTCTATGGCTGAGAAGTGTTTGGCTTCTTTTCTATGCCTTGGTGAATTTAAAACGCAATCTACATTATCTTAACTTAAAAACTAACAAAACAAACATTTGGGATATTTGAATATCTGCAACCGTCGTATTATAGTTAGTGTACTCCTCTTGTCTTATCTAACTTTCAGAACACTGTTGTTGATCTTTTTTACATGGTGATTACTTTTCGAAAAAGATCTGCGGGATATCAGTTTTTCTTTTGAATAAACAGGTAAACACGATTCCAATGCATGGCCAAGGTTGTTAGCAATGGTACGGATATATTTCAATATGCAAGAGATCAAAGTAATCTTTACTGTTTGTTTGAAATGATCAGATAGTAATTAGTGAAATAGAATTGATGAATTAACTTAAAAATCTTTACTTCGATTTATATGTTTTGAATCAAAATCCGTATCGAAAACTTTAGAATATATGTCTATAAATAATCAAGTATGAACGTTTTGTATCTTTTCATTAAGTCTTCTCATTTCCTTTGAAGAAACGACACCTGTTGTGGAAAATGGCATAATTGCTCGCTGTGAATGTGACCTGTCCAACGGATATATCGGAGAGGACCCGCTATGCATGAAAGTCAACAGATGTTTTCGTGGAGAGGAACTTGACAAATCAAGTATGGAATCTGGAGAGGAGTTTATAAAGGTGGTTTTACAATAGTTCAGAGGTGTAACTAGACCATTGTCTTGCAGGAATATTCAGGTATCTTCTTGTATATATTTAGGTTGACAACATGGCTTCAAGCATCACCGATGAGTTCTGGAACAGGTGTGTAATACAGTGTAATTACTTTTTTGGCATACTATACGGTTTTTTTTTTACTAAATTTTAAAGGTGCAATCAGTTTCGGACATCATTATGTTAGCACATACCTTAAAGTGACTAAAATATCTCGAGGAATGCGATTTTGCGAAAACATTACAATATAAGTACATTGTACCTTGCAACTTGATGCACTTTTTGGAAATAACGTAAGATACATGTAAGTCGATTTATTCGATAGTCGTTGTCCATTAATCAATATTTTTCATCCCATTAAAAGAAATCGACACACAAATGGAGAAAAGTATACAGAAATAATACAAAAACGGATACAAATGAAATTAATTAATTTAAAACAATGATCTAAACAAAAAAAAAGTTTTGGAGAAATTGCACTCAACCAAATTGTTTACTTTCCCGTTGATTCCTGAAATAATGACTTTTTGATTTTAATTTGAGATATCATGCCATATGACTTTTTATAATGGTGAAACTGAGTAACTGTACACTTATCTATATTCAATATAATGGATTCTGTTTCACTTTTAATTAAATCTAAAATCTATGTCCGCTTGAATAATATCGTCCTTGTCCCAGCCTTGACGTTTTCATTAAACTTGTTACCTTTGTAAACGTTTTGACAGATGTAAATGGCCAATAGACAGATTGACGTGACTATTTCCTGGTATTTACACCCTGGCAAAGTCATCGTCTTTATCTTATTGTCAAAACCATTACTTCCTCATAGTGATATAAAACAGTCGACGATGCTTTGAATTGTTTTAGTGTCGTTTTGTAATTACAGGCGTTTTAATGATAGGCTGTTTTTCGCGCATATTTCGTCATAATTTTATTAAAATTCTTCGTGTAGTAGATGCATCGTTGGCCAAGTGGTCAATGTATCTGACCGTATGCTATCACTAGCCCTCCACTACTGGGGCCCGGGTTCGAGGCCTACGTGGGGAATTGCCAGTTACTCGCCGCAGGTCGGTGGTACTCCGGTTTTCCTCCGCCACCATAACCTTTACGTCCTTAAATGACTATAGGTGTTAATATGACATAACTCACAAGCAAACAAAACAAAACCAAAGCATCCATGCAGTTACCAAGAGACCTATCTTATCCGGAATTGTCCAGGTACACATTTGCTTATTTCACTAATAACAAATATGCAGTATCTTTTTTAACATTAAACGTACGATGTTTGTTACACTTCAATTCCCTTTCTCACAGATTGGAATAAATATAATGTAATTACAACGTGAAGCTCTTTTTTAACTGAAATACAAGATATCAAATATGAATTAGAACGTTGATTAGTATTTAGTAGTAAACCCCATGATAATTTGAAAACCGCAAGGTGTTTGACTCTGTTATAATTGAATATCAATCCTCATACTCTAACCCCAACCCTAACTCAAATGACATTATCTCCGAGTGAAATTAATGAACGGAATCAAAATCCACAAATTGTTTAAACTACGAAATGTTTACAGATGGTATTGGAGAAGTTTTCAGGACATTACTGTGAATTCCATTCTGGGTCATTGATTGGAAAAGACATAAATGATGCGTCTAAGTAGTTGCCACAGTAAAGCTGGTCCCAATGTCATGATTTTAATAAAAATGATTAGTAATACGAGTTATATACGATGTAGGGTTACACCAGTATATTTACATTCCCATTATATGTTCCTGTGTAACTAATGAACGCAATTTGATTAGCATTCTTTTCCCGCCCCGTATAACATGAAACAACTGTTAGAAGGAAACATTTTGGTGACGTTAGTCTGTTCTTTGCATATCTAAAGACGCAAACACTCGAATATCGAAATTATTATAAGGAATTTTTATGTGTAGATCAATGATAAATATAAAACTGAAAATGTAAATATATGTATTTTACATTATTTTTCAGCACTCATGACGGTATGAACATTGAAAAAATGCCATTCAGTCCAAATTTTTATTTGTTAAGATCTCATCTGTCATCGCTGGTGTCAGAAATGATCTCTGATGTTCAACTGTGTTTCAGTTAATTTTACAACGTACCTATTGCTCACAATGCTAATATTCTTGCACCATAGGCGGTCGATGTTCACCGTGCCAGAAGGGATCCTACAAAAACACTACTGGGTACGAGTTTTGCCAACCATGGACCAGGTAAAACATTAAAATTATTTTCGTTATAGCAAAATCAAATAATTTAACTTCAAAATATATTCCAATGTAAAGTGGGATTTTATGCTCCTGATAAATTGCTAGCAAACACAGTATGTTGCGCAATACCAGTTTAAGGCAATTAAAACCGAGATTCACTTTTGTGCATGCGGCTTATTGTTCAATGTGTGTTCTTCAACTTCAATTATTCTGTATCTATATAATAAACGGTAATGGTACATTATCAACAGAGAAATTACTCTTTTTTCAGTTGTGAAACCCTTGGCAGAGAAACGTTGAAGGTAGGTAATACAACTGCTGATACTGTCTGCGGAAAACGACTTCAGACTACGAATAGTGAGCCGAGTTTGTATCCAACAGCAAACACGTTTTCTGTGACCTTGAAATGTGGAACAGGCGATTGTCTTACTAAGGCCGATCAGACTGAGTTCAAAGGTATTCAGAGTCGTACTGTTTTTGTAAGAAGTTTCAATTTAATGATACAGAGAAAATTTATTTATTGATTCGTCAACTACTCCTGTAAGTTTGCAAATTTTTAATGTCCCTTCAGTTTATCAATTTTACTAGTTATGGTTTGAAATGTTGATTTCAGCATTTTTCATATCATTTGATTGAATAAAAAATTCGTAAAATCAGTCTATGTTTCATTTGTTTCTTATTTCAAAAACATAATATAAAGTAAATATTTGTTTCAGAAGATGTCATGGACAGCACACTGCAACATCAAAACAAGACTGATCAGCATCACTCGAAAGACTGCGGAGAGCGGAGGTAACTAAAAATGATTTCCTGATGATTTCCGGGTCGGGATGGGAGAAAAGACGGTTAAAATGATGGTTAAAAGATGTTTAACCCTTTCACCACTGTAGACCATACTGGACTCATCCCAATAAATGCATGGTTGAGTTTACTTGAGTTACCCAGGGGTGAAAGGTTAAACGACGGCTTCTCCAGATTGGTTGAACGAGATTTTAACTACATTTGATATTAATTCAATCGTCTCAAAGCAAAGGCTGTGGTCTCCTTGTGGGCATAGAGGCCGGGGCCAAATATAGAAGTGGAGGGCAATATTTGAAAAAAAACCCGCATGATCAGTGGGGAAAATGTCGATAGCATACTGAAGTTTGCGCCCCCTGTCCTGGGAAGGAGGGTTGGGTCCTTGATAGCAGAAACGGAATAAAGTTTAAACACTGTACGGATGAGAATTTTTTTTCCCCATTTGGTAAGAAACATCCAAAAGCAATGTTGAATTATCGTTACATAACCGAAGGTGTAGCAGACCTGGCCAAAATGAACAAGACCCCCCCCCCCCCCCCCGAGTTTTTCTATTCCATTCAACGAATGTTAATCAAATTTGATGCAAAAGATAAGCACAAACTATAATGAGGGCCTATTTTATGGATTATTTTGAAATCAAAGATGTTTGCATAGGTGTCGGATTTGTAAAAAAAAACATTTTTGACTTTCGCTCAGTTTCCATTTAGCCTATTTTGACAAAACCTGTAGCAAATGATCCAGTCTAGACCCTGACCAATTATGTTGCTATTTTGGTCAATATAGAATAAAAAAAAGATAAACGCTTGTCATCTGATTGGTTGACACATCTAATATTCAGCAAGACCAGAGGGAAATACAAGGGTGTTATTTTTTCAGAATACCATAATGGATAAGCTTGACCGTTTGCAGAAAGTATGCTAATGGTAAGGGATTTGTGAAATAAGATTTCGTTTATGGATCAATCAATACCTACCTAGCAAAATGAAGTTGAAAAGGGACGAAATGTTATATGATATTAAAGATAATGATTGGAAAGCTGGAGCCATGTTTTCCAAAATATTTATGAGACAGTTACAACTATATAGTTACATTTCCACCGCAGGTCCTACTATAAGCATTACCAGAATAAATTGCGATCAACGTGGTAAGGCTGTAAAAAGCTAACATTTTGGTGACGCTTTGCTGTTGAAGGGATCTCGTTTGCACTAACGACGTCGACACTTCAATAAAGATAATATAAGAGAATACCTATATTCAGATCAATAATAACTATTGTGAATGTAAATAAATGTTACAAAATTATTTAAAAACAAATGCCATTCAATCCTTATATTTATTCTACGTTATAAGATGCATTTCAACATTTCAACTTTGGTGGTTGAAATTTTAACCGGCATTTAAAATAATAAATATGGTAATAAAAAAGAACGTGGAGCGCAGTTCTCTTTTCAACTCATTCCTTATATCATATGAATATTGCCTGATGGAACGTGTGATGTTAGATTTCGTATGAAATAGCAGATTGAGTGGAATATTGAAGCATTAGAGTAAGCACACCTTATTCGATATGAATATTGCTCTGTTGTTATTTTCCATGTTTACTCAAAAACCAATATAGATACGATGTGCTGATTGGACGGTACATTTTACACTAATGCCTATTCCACTAGATTGCTTTTAATTGCCCTTCTAGTGCAGTTATCGTGTCGAGGCGTCTGTGATGACCACCATGGTATTAAGTTAGAGGAAACATTAGATTTCATTTTCCTGTCTGGTTCAGAGTTTAACAGAAACATGAGGGCAATAACAGTCCTGAATGGACTCTTGCATAATAAATTGTTTTACTCGCGTATGACCATTTTTTGCTCAAGTGCAAACATTTCGGCTATTCAGAATTATACATGTATATGAATTAATTTATTCATGATTATTTTTGTTGCATGTTTTTCCACAGAACAGGCGAATCCAGTATATCGTGAATATATAATCTGACAGTTTCTACTATTATTTAATTCCAAAAAGACACAAGCACTCTTGCAGACATTGACGGTCTGTAATGTCAAAATCATTCACTTCGTATGCATCGACATTATTGTACAAGTGTCTATATAATTACTTATTCATATTCTTCCTTTATGATTCGAAGCTACCCAAAACGAGATTTATTCGGTTTGGGACTAGTGCACCGATAAGAAAATTCCGCTAAATTGATTGCAGAATCCAGCTTGTTGGAACTTGAATGATTAACGCATTTCATTATTATATTATGACATTCTATATCTCACTATTACTGATGTGGTGTGGGTTATTTATCATTATCTATTTATTTTTTCGGCCTTATTTCTGTTACGTTAACTTATTAATTTATTATTATTTCCTTTTTAATGAAGCCTGCAGTATGCGGTCGTCATCGCAATTATGATGCTCATGCTGCTTATCATGGCAGTTTGCTTTTTACGCATCAGCTGCAAGTTAGATAGAACGCCATGGAAAGGTATTTAAACCTATATACTGTCATGGCATGGCAGTTATTTTTAATAAGATTGTTTAATCTGTTTCATTAATGTCAACAGAATAAGTATTTTAATCACTTTAACGCCAAACAATTGCGTAAATACGAAATACGGTTTAGTTTATCATGCGATTTCACCATAATAGATAAAACTTCGAAACAAATGAAGCACAACTTAAACATATTTTAATTGTGATGCAGAACACCAAACAGAGTTAAAAATGTCGCTGCACCATTCTTCCATTCGTCCCTTTAGGACCAATCAGAGGTACTTAGGGTCAAAAAATGAAAGCTATGTCTAAGGTGTTCTTAAACATATGTAGCAAAGGGAAAATTGCATGTTAATCAATTATAACGTTACGTATTTGCAAATGTTTGCTCAGACCGATAAAGATTCATCCTTAACTACTTGCTTCCGTTTTTTTCTCAAGGCTTTCGACTTTCCACAAGGAATGAAAAAGATATCGAAATGTGTTTTAAACAAGGTAATTATACTTGCCTGGCATATTGATTAAACATATACAAATATTGATACAAACATGCTCACCAGGTTTGTTTTTGAACTATTAATACTATTAAAAGTAAAACGGACATTTTTCGCGTATGGAATTTTAAAGAGAGTGCATGCCATAGATTATTCGCGGTTTTTGCTTTTTTCACAGTGGAGCACTGTAAATGCATAGACAACTGAGCATTGCTATTGTTTTATATGTTGGGGCGCGCGTATTGCCGCGATGATATCATATTCGCTAAAATTATCCACAGTGAAACAAATTCCACATGTTCACATTCATGTCTTTCGTTACTTTAAGGCATTCAGGAAGAGAATGGAATAGCCAAACACGAAGCCAAAACAGGTTAAGTATTTGATTTTAAAACCGTCCATGGTAATCACATGTTGCAATACCATCAGGTGTTATTATTTCAATAATAATTAATACTATTATATATCAATATAGATAAGGTGTTAGATAAAGGATGGTGTTTATGAAATAAACGTTTTTTCTTTCAGAAGTATGTTTACAACACGTGTTTTACACAGAATTATAGTTGTTCGAAATTGAGGTAATTGAAATCACAAATAAATATCGATAACTATAAATAAAACCAAAACAAGAATGTAGCGATCGATATCAGGACCGATTCACTACAAATCATACATTATATGTAGCTTTCAAGGATTTTAAAATACGCATTATAAGAATGGGAGATGAATTTCTCGACCAAAAAGAAACTCTAAGTCAGAAAAAAATTGCTTCCTCGTGAAAGCGGTGAATGCACTTAATTTGTTTTACAACATTAACGTTATCTTGTATTTTCTGTCAGGTTTGTTTGTAAAAGAGTTGCAACATGTCAGACTTCTGAAATATACACCGATTATGTGCCATATTTGTCATATATAGCTTTGATTGTTTACTTTTTATATGTTATTAAAGATTCCATTTCCCAGATCACATTTTAAAGCATTTTATTTACATTTTGCAAAAAGGCCATACTTATTTACGATTTAAAGCAACTAGATATAAAAAATGATTTAACTTGTTTGAGCCCCGCGTCACAGACGCAGGTACCCAACAATAATCACTTTGTCAATACGTCTGTCTGTCTGTATTTCCAAAGATTTTCTGAATTCAAATGACTTATCCTTCTTACTATTCATATGGTGATACACTGTGATATGTAGATTTGCAATATGAGCTTGTAAGGTTTCTCAGATCAAGTTCAAGGTCACTTATATTGAAAACATACCATGTGGGCTAAGGTCTTTATCTCAGCAACAAAAATATTGATATTTCTGAAATTTTAAATGTTGATACACTGTAATAGGAAGACGAGCTATAGGCGTTTAAAAAGTTAAAATGGCCGAGGTCAAGGTCACTGCCATTCAAAGTAGTCCGGGGGCTGGGGGAATTGTAGACCACTGACGCGGGGTTACGGCCAGGCACGTGGCCGGGTCCTTGCTGACTTGTCAGTGTTCTAGTTAATTTCATTACTTAATTCAATTTAATTATATGACTGAATACATTCCTAAACATTCCTAACATTTGAAAGACAATTGTATGTAGTTGTCGATAATTAAAACTTTTAGATGACCATTAACTTGTTTATTTTCATTTTTTATTGGTAATCCTTGATTGTTTATTTACAGCTTCCGAAAAGTCAACACCTTTTGACGATTGTGACCAGCCAGGTACAGAATGAGTTTACATTTTAATGATTAAAATACCATTATAGTAGATTATTTTCCTGTCATATTTTAGCGAATCATAATGTAGTCTACATTCGTGGATTAATGGAAAATTAAATTATTGACAGCTTGGTCCTGTTTCTAAGAAAGCAAATTAGTACCACATGAAAAAAGAATTTCATTGTGTGAAGATGGTATACATTTACAAACAGTTCCAGTCTGATTATAGCTTAAATCGTAATAACGATATAGCGTAGCTCTTAATAACGAGATAATATTTTTTTCGCGTGGTACTAACCGGCTTTCATACGTTTCCTTTAAGTATAGCATTTATCTTTAATACTTTTAACTGACGAGTTGATATTATAATGAGATTACCAAGAAAATAATTTCTTTTTCAATGTTTACAAAAACCATGTAAAATCATATATATATATATACTCGCATATAAATTGAAACATACATTTTAATACCGATAACACAGATACATATATATTTATAAATTTGGTTTTTCCTTTCCCAAAGTTTTTGTTATTGCCCCACGACATTTTTTTAGAATACTGACAGGGTAAGGGCTCTGGATTCAAATTTGTCCTTATGCAAGAGGGCTCTCATTCATTTATTCTTTTACGTATTCATTCATACATTCATTCATTCATTTTATTCATTTCCTTTCATGTCATTCTGTTTTATATTAATTCATTTTCATTCATTCATTGAATTTCTTTTCATTACATTAATTCCTTGTTTACTTTCAATCAATCATTTCATCTATTCATTCAATTTAAAATTTCATTTCTTTTCTTTTTATTCTTTCTTTTACATCTATTTTTCTTGTTTACGTTCATTTATTCTTGTTAACATTCGTTCACTTATAATATATTGTGGAGAAAATAAGTGTATTAGGAAAAAAAAAATTGTTTCTAAAATTTCAGCATTTCCCCACCATTTCTAAGGATGAAACTAGCCATATTTACCCAGGGACAAGATATCCTGAAACATCTTCAAAAGATGTATTTCTACCTTTTTTAAGTCAATAAGTAAATTATTTAGTAATCATGAAATCGAACAATATTTCTATCATTCTATCATTTTCCCCCAAATATTTGCCGTACGATATAAATATCTTATGTACATTCTTGTTCGGAATTTTATGTTCTTTATAAATAACAAAAAATGCAGCTATTTTTTTTTATTCTTGAACATCGTTTGAAATATGAAATAGCAAATTATTCATATACATTGCTTGATGGTGTTAATTCGTTATTTATATTTTAGCTACGCTGTACCCTCCAATCAACGAACAGCCGGCTGAACCAACCGCCCCAGAATTGTCCATGCAGGGAAACTTACAGCCTCTGATCCACGTTCCACCAAGCTGCTGCACATGCGACGTCTACGTCCCAAAGGGAAATTACGGTTAATCATGTTCATTTACCGCAGCCTGAAATAGATATCCACACCAATGCTGAATTGTTATGAGACCACTGTTATGCTAAAACTCAAAATATTTTATGTTGTAAATAAAATTTCCTCTTTAGACATGAAAATGTCCCTAAGTCTACATATGCAGCTAAATACTTATTATAAACGTTTACGTTTCGATCTTGTCACAAAAACCAGAGAGTTACAAGAAAGCGCGTTTGAGAACATAACTTGCGCTCGAACATCATACTGTTAGTTCGTGAATATGTGCACAGGTTTATGAAAATAATTAAGCATTTCTTGTAAGTTGAAAGTAATTTACTAGTGTCTTTCAATGCGAACCCTACAGTGTGCAAAAATAAGGTAATATTTATAATGTGGTTACGGGTTCGATGCGCAATATTCTACTGAATCAACCAAATAGCGAGTCGCGTTTACAAACAATTTACCGACTGCTCCATTGGATTGATGATCTCATAAACTAAACAAAATAAAAGGTTATTCCTTAAATGTACAATATGTTCTTTTAACAATAATACCATGAAAAGAGTCGGATACAAGCATTTACCTTGTTAATCCATGCGAAACAGACATTCGCAAAAGCCGTTGACAGACAGCTAAACCCCGCCAACTTTCTCCGTGACAACAAAAGAAAAAAGTTCCTCCATTTCAATATTTTTATTCACATAAAATATCCATATTCTACTTCATACAATATCTTCATGATTGTATTAGTAGGTAATGGAATAATAATTTTATATTTGTATGAAATTGAGGTATTGGGGCAAAATACTAAGTAGAAAATACTTATGACCGCGTATGTCCACCGTTTGAAAGTGATGTCCTTAAAGGCGGGAAATAGATAGTGCTACCATGTCGACAAGCAATAGTGACTAGCCTAGTCCTGGTGGAAGTTATTGAAATTGCTGTTTGTAAGCATACTAGAGGTTTGTATAGATGCCATGCATGATGTGGATAAATCGTTTGTCGACTGAGTGACTATTGGGAGGCGATAAATTTGACCTACATTTCTAGGAACGATAGCCATCGTTTCTGTGTCATGGTGGCCGACAGAGTGGAGCTGATTGAGCGTTTTTGTACCGACAAACAATCGCGACTGTAGCTTCTGACACTTGCCGACAAAAGCAACTTAATTAAAAAATAATGATAAACACACCAACAAAAATACAATTTAATGTTTTTATTTTGGTGTCTCGAACGCACGGTAGTCTAAATACTAGCGTTTGTTTGTAAATATTGACACGAGGTTTGCGGAAAGAAGTCTGCCAATATTTACATATAATCATACGCGGTGAACTGGGTCACGTTCTACACTCAAGTTATTGAGAAATAAACAGACTTGCCCACGCTTTAGAGGCGTTTTCATGGTATGAACATTGGTCGACTATTTACAAATAAATATATAATAATAACGATCTTTTTGACATCATTCATTGACTTTTCTTTTTTATATTAATCTTGGGCCATCACTTTGTTATGTTTTCTATATTGCCATTAATGACGTTTAATAAAAAACCTTACATTTTAATAAAAAAAAACTTGTTTATTTTTTGTGACTTAGTGCGGAGAAATATATATTGTCAAATATAAAAATATGGTCATTTTAATAGAAATTTTTCCAGAGCGACAAAACACAAAAACAAAAAATACCGCAGATTCAATACCAAAGATTAAATATACCATAGCGTCTAGACAAAATGATGGCGAAATAACAAAACCAAAAACTTAACAATGAAAATATAACACGGTGTCAACAGACAATGACACTATAACACAGCGTCAACATACAATGAAAATATAACACTGCGTCAACAGACAATGACAATATAACCCAGTGTCAACAGACAATGAAAATATAACACAGTGTCAACAGACAATGACAATATAACACAGTGTCAACAGACAATAACAAGATAACCCAATGCCAACAGACAATGACAATATAACACAGTGTCAACAGACAATGAAAATGTAACACAGTGTCAACAGACAATGACACTATAACACAGTCTCATCAGACAATGACAATATAAGACAGTGTCAACAGACAATGACAATATCACCCAGTGTCAACAGACAATGACAATTTAACACAGAGTCAACAGACAAAGAAAATATAGCACAACGTCAACAGACAATGACAATTTAACACAGAGTCAACAGACAAAGAAAATATAGCACAACGTCAACAGACAATGACAATATCACCCAGTGTCAACAGACAATGAAAATGTAACACAGTGTCAACAGACAATGAAAATATCACATAGCGTCAACAAACAATGACAATATAACACATTGTCATCAGACAATGATAATATAACACATTGTCAACAGATAATGGCACTATAACCCAGTGTCATCAGACAATAACAATATAACACAGTGTCATCAGACAATGATAATATAACACAGTGTCAACAGATAATGGCACTATAACACAGTGTCATCAGACAATGACAATATAACACGGTGTCATCAGACAATGACAATATAACACGGTGTCATCAGACAATGACAATATAACAGTGCCAACAGACAATGACAATATAATACAGTGTCAACAGACAATGACAATATAGCACAGTGTCAACAGACAATGAAAATGTAACACAGTGTCAACAGACAATGAAAATATAACACAGTGGCAACAGACAATGACAATATAATACAGTGTCAACAGACAATGACACCATAACACAGTGTCATCAGACAATGATAATATAACACATTGTCAACAGATAATGGCACTATAACACAGTGTCATCAGACAATGATAATATAACGACACGAGGTTTGCGGAAAGAAGTCTGCCAATATTTACATATATTTATCAATGTTAGCACACAATGACAATGTAACACAATGTTAGCACACAACGACAATATAACACAATGTTAGCACACAACGACAATATAACACAATGTTAGCACACAATTACAATATAACACAATGTTAGCACATAATGACAATATAACACAATGTAAGCACACAATGACAATATAACACAAGGTTAGCACACAATGACAATATAACACAAGGTTAGCACACAATGACAATATAACACAATGTCAACAGACAATGACAGTATTACACGGGGTCAACAGACAATGACAGTATTACACGGTGTCAACAGACAATGACAATATAGCACAGTGTCAACAGACAATGACAATATAATACAGTGTCAACAGACAATGACACTATAACACGGTGTCAACAGACAATGACAATATAATACAGTGTCAACAGACAATGACAATATAGCACAGTGTCAACAGACAATGAAAATATAACACAGTGTGAACAGACAATGAAAATATAACACAGTGTCAACAGATAATGGCGCTATAACACAGTGTCATCAGACAATGACAATATAAGACAGTGTCAACAGACAATGACACCATAACACAGTGTCATCAGACAATGATAATATAACACATTGTCAACAGATAATGGCACTATAACCCAGTGTCATCAGACAATAACAATATAACACAGTGTCAACAGATAATGGCGCTATAACACAGTGTCATCAGACAATGACAATATAAGACAGTGTCAACAGACAATGACAATATAATACAGTGTCAACAGACAATGACACCATAACACAGTGTCATCAGACAATGACAATGTAACAGAGTGTCAACAAACAATGACAATATAACACAGTGACAACAGACAATGACAATATAACTCAATGTTAGCACACAATGACAATGTAACACAATGTTAGCACACAATGACAATATAACACAATGTTAGCACACAATGACAACACCAAAGGCCAGAACAGACAATTATGTCATTGCAATAGGATAAAATGTCAACAAACAAACAAACAAACAAACAAACAAACAAGGGCAAAATCGACCTCATCGTGAACAATCAATGACAAAAGTCTTAGCTGCGCCAACAAACAATGACAAATCCACCGCACCGTGCAGTTATTACAAAATAGTCATGATGGTGACACAGTAGAACAAAATAGTCATGATGGTTACACAGAAAAACAAAGTAGTCATGATGGTGACACAGAAAAACAAAAAAAGTCAGTAAAGAATCAGCACAGAAGGATAGAAAATACCACCGGGACAAAATACAACCCCGGCGTCATCGGAAAATGACCAAAATGGCCCATGGAACAATAACAGGAAAACAATCTATTTCCGACCACCTGTTTATGTCACCTAGTCCCGAATTGAGTTCATGATCTCTTGGGGACTCTGTGTTATGGTATTTTGAGGTACAAAATAGAAATTGTGATAAAGGTGAGGAGCGTATTGGTCATGTTTTATCTTTATTTTGGTCTCCTGACCATTTCATTACTGTGATAGATTGAGGTATACCATCAATCAATTCACTGCATGAAATCAATAGGTGGCAGAATATAATGTCAATATACACCATTTATATATTTTAACACAGATTATGTTATTTTAGATTAAATTTATAACTGGAACGCCACAAACGGCCAAGTGTACGCCAATCAAGTATTGTTTAAACATTTGTGTAAAATTACCGACTGCTCCATTGGATTTATTATCTCAAAAACCAAACAAAATATATGGTAATCCTCATATTTACAATTTTTCTTTTAACAATAACACCATTAAAAGAGTCATGTTAATCCATGCGAAACAGCCATTTGCAAAAGCCGTTGACAGACAGCTAAACCCCGCCCACTTTCTCCGTGACAACAAAAGAAAAAAGTTCCTCCATTTCAATATTTTTATTCACATAAAATATCCATATTTTACTTCACACAATAATTTCATAATTGAATTAGAAGGTAATGGAATATTTTTTTTTTATATTTGTATGAAATTGAGGAATTGGGGCAGAATCCTAAGTAGAAAAAACTAATGACCGCGTACGTCCATCGTTTGAAAGTGATGCGCACAAAGGCAGGAAATAAAGAGTGCTACGATATCGTCGAGCGATATTGACTCCTATGCTAGGCCTGGCCCAG